TCCCCGCAGTCTCCTGAGAGGCTGTTTTAGCTTTTTATTTTGAAATAAATTTTTAAGAATAGTATAAAACTCTTGTATATCCTTTACTCCAATTTGTTATGATTGCTTTATCTATTTACTTATCTACCATCCATCCATATATCCATCCATCATATGTGCTATAGGATAGATAAATATTTCTATAATTTTCTGAGCTCTTTGAGAAAAGGTTGTGTATTTCATCTTCCTTTTCCTCTCTGTTTCCTAAGAATAAGAATATTGCCTTACATACCTAAAATATAGTTATTGACTTAAAAAATATAACATCTATATATATAAAAGGCTAATATGCAAAGTGTCCCCTCAGGAGTTTGACCAGGAGTTTAATCACTCACTATGATGTGTGCTAACCACCAGGAGGCAGTGTAGAATGAAGGAAGGCCCAGGCCAGTGTCCCGCAGCTGGCAGCGGGGGAAGAAAGGCCCTGCATGGCAGGTGGGGAAGGGAAGGCCCCAGCCAGCAGACGGAAGGGCCCAATTGGCCCTTTTCACTGGCCAGGCTTAGGGACCCTACCTACGCACATATTTCATGCACCAGGCCTCTAGTTGAATATAATATTATACTTTCATCAAATTTATATCTCAAATACCAATTTTGTCAGGTGCCCCAGTAATGTCCTTTGTGGTAATTTTTTTTTTTTTTAATATAAGATCCAGCCCAGGGTTGATTATTGTATAATTTCCTTTAATCAGGAACATTTTCCTCAAACTTTTTTAATGCCATTGACGTATTTTTTTAAATATAGGCCAGTTATTTTTTTAAATGTCTTTCAATTTGATTTCTCATGACTAGATCCAGGTTATGTAGTTTTGTCTGAAATCCTATGTTAGTGATAGATACTGTGTCCTTCTCAGAATACATACATGGCAATGCAAAGTATCCATTAGTTTTACTTTGGTTCTATTTAAGTCCATAAGCCCATTGCATAGTTACTGTTTTTCCTTTTGTAATAAATAATGTAGGGAAATACTTTCAGACTTAAATCCCCCAAATTTAGCAGTCATTGATGATCCTTCTTCACACTGATGGCTGCAAATGGTGTTTTCTAACTTCCTTATTACCTCTGTGTTTATCAGGGAGTATTCTAGTGTAGAAGGAAGAACTTTCCCTTCTCCCCCTCTTTATTTATTATTGGTATAAACTCATGGTTTATTTCCTTGAACAGGTTATAATTTTTATAGTTTTTATTTAATTTCATGCTCAAATTCTTGCAAATTTGGCAAGTGAGAATCCTCTCATACTGGCTTCTGCCTTTTAAATGTATCTATTATTTTCTGAGTATGCTCTTAGTTAATGGCACAGAGCTCCTCTTGTGTTTTTCTTACACCTGCCCTGGAATTAGCTACCTTTCCAATGAGTCCTTACTCCTTTTAGAGGAAAATGGTATTTGAATGCAATGAGTGAAATGTCATTGCCTCTAGGCCCTTACAGTGGAACTAGAAGTGTGTGTGTGTGTGTGTGTGTGTGTGTGTGTGTGTGTGTGTGTTTGAGAGAGAGAGAGAGAGACAGAGAGAGAAAGAGAGAGAGAGAGAGAGAGAGAGAAGGGGGGGAGCAGAAGCATGCATATATGAAAATGTTTGAGTTTATATTGTACCTCCAATTCAAGTCTAGCCCCTAAGAATTCTTGTTTTTCTTGACCTTTCTATATTTTTGTCTCCCCTTTTCTACATTGAGGACCTTGGCTCCCAACAACATCAATATTATATACTCACCTGCTAAATCTCAAAATATACACAAAAAGTTTCTGAATTACTCGACCCATACCAGTAAAACATGCTGAATTTGTTCGCGATGATGTTCAGGGATTTTCCTTTACCGTATATCAAGGATATATGGTCAAAGCACACTCCTTAACAGTTACTTAGATTAGATCTTTTTCTTCTCTCCCTTTGGTGATTTTATTAATTTGAAATAGGATTGGGTTCATTTGTTTCTATTATCATTCAGTCTTCGTTTTTAACCCTCTCTACATCCTTTATGTCTATATGCTATATAATAAAACTGTAATATGTAAATCAACTGAACAATAGAACAGCCGGTCACTATGATGTGCACTGACCACTAGGGGGTGGACGCTCAATGCAGGAGCTGCCCCTGGTGGTCAGTGCGCTCCCACAGAGGGAGTGCAGCAGCCTTGACAGGAACCTTTCCTGCCTCAGAGGCAGCACTAAGGAGCAATGAGCAGGTGGGCAGTAAGGAGGCTCCTGGACTGTGAGAGGGCACAGGTGGGCTGAAAGACTCCCTCCCCTCTCCCTAGTGCACGAATTTTTGTGCACTGGGCCTCTAGTATGTTTATAAGTGCTTGTGTTTGTTTGTTTGTTCGGTGTATAGTTCCACTGGTTTTAAGACCTACATAAACTGAATAACTTTAGTAGGGATTATGACTGTTGTACTAAACACTTTCATCAACCCCAAATTACCAAGTGTCACTCCTTTGTAGTTAATTCCTGTCCCACTCTAATCTCAGGCAGCAATTAATTTTTCCTCCTTCCCTGTACTTTTACCTCTTCCATAGTTTCACACACAGTAACTGGACTCACAAAGTAGAATCAGCCAAAACTGTTTCTTCTTCTCAGTGTAATGCCTTTGAGATTCATCCCTGTTTTGTTCATTTTATTGCTCTGTGGGAAGCTTACAGCCATTTTTTTCTTCAAATCGTTATTCTGTGATGCATTCTTTGTCTTCTCGAATCTAAATGACAGCAATGTTATGCATTTTCTCACTGTCCCACAGATCCCTGAGGCTCTCTTCTTATTCCCTCTCTCTCTCACCCTATCTCTATCTTCCTCCTTTCTTGTTCAGATAGAAAACACACATACACATAAAGAAGGGCAATTTCCCCACTCTCTGTTTTTTAAAGGCCCCCTGACTCCTGCTCTTCAGACCAGAAAGAGGGGGCTTATTTAGAAGTTCTTTATATTAGTACCCAATGCAGCAATATTTATTATGACTGATTTCTGAGCTTTTTCATCAGATCTGTGTTGTCCCACATGCTTATTCAGAGATCACTTCACAAACAAGGATATGCAAATGATGAATGAAAAGGATTGAAGCCTCATTAATAAACAGAGAAATATAAAATCTAACCATTATGCAATACCACCAAACTGACTAAAATGAAAAATACAGACATTATCAATTATTGGCATTAATATGGGATAACTGGAACTCCCATATAGGAATCTTAAATTGGTACAACCACTTTGGAAAATAGTTTGGCAGTATCTGTTAAAGGTAGTCCTAAATGTGAAGATCCTAGGACTAGCAATTTCATCCCTTGGTATATACAAACAATGTATACATATGTTCACCAAAAAGAAGGTCTGTGAGTTCAAAGTGGCCTGTTTATATTAGCCTAAAAACTATAAACTGCCCATATGTTTACTAGCTGTAGCTAGTCTAATCATTTGCGTATGGTCACACAATGGAATACCTTACAGTGTGAGAATGAATAAAGCACAACTGATTGTAACAAAATGACTGAATCTTACAAGCATGATGTTGAACAAAGAAATCTGTATCTTGATCTGGGTGTTGGTTAGCACATTATATTCACACTGTAAAAGTTCATCCAACTATATATTTAGGCCTTGTGCATTTTTCTGTATATATGATATATCAGTAAAAAGCATATTAAATGAATTAGATCTTGATTTTTTTGGTCTAGTTGTTTTTTAAAGGTTAACTTTTGATATATTTAATTATTACTGACCCTCATGGAACCCATAAGATCCACAGTTTTTCAGTTGATTCTCTTGGTTATTATCTATATACTAGAGGGCCAGTGCATGAAAATTCATGCACTGGAGGGGGATCCCTCAGCCCAGCCTGCCCCCTCTCACAGTCTGCGTGCCCTCATGGGCAGGAGGTGACCCAGCAATCAAGGGAACTGATGCCCCATCACACCTCTGCTGCTGCCACTGCCGACAGCACAAGCCTTAGCTGGCCCTGGTTACCTGAGCCTCAGGCAGCCCTTGGTGGCTGGGCAGCCACCATCTGAGGCTTGCCTGTGCCTCGGGCCGGCCCTGAGCATCTGGGGGCTGAGGGGCCTCTGGAGACAGGTACACAGGGTGCACCTGCCTTGCTGTGCACCTGCTGCCCAGTTAGGTCTGAAGCAACTGGGTGCCACCATCTTTGAGGGTGTGGCAGTCAATTAGCATATTCCCTCCTTATTGGCTGTGGGCACTGCCATCTTTGCAGTGGCGTGAGGGTCAATTAGCATATTTCCTCTTTATTAAATAGGATATAAAAACCTGAGTGACTGAACAACTGTCAACCAGTCACTGTGATGTGCACTGACCACCAGGGGGCAGATGTTCAATGCAGGAGCTACCCCCTGGTGATCAGTGCACTCCCACAGCAGGAGTGCTGCTCTGCCAAAAGCCAGGCTCACACTGTAGCTGCAGCAGTATGAGCCTCTTCCACCTCTGTGGCAACACTACCAAGCAGTGGCAATGGCAGGAGCAGCGGGGCCAGGATGAGCAGGAGTGGCGCCTGCTACTTCATGCACTGCTATATCCCCCAGGGGGTCCCAGATTGTGAAAAGTCACAGGCCAGGCTGAGGGACCCTACTGGTACATGAATCTGTGCACCAGGCCTCTAGTCTTTAATAACCAAGAGAGATCTTTTCATCAAAACACTAGAATGGGTCTAATCTTCAGAAGAATACACTTTCAATGCCAAAAACACACCTGAAATTTATTTTTTTTAAACAGCCTAAATATCTTTAAAGGAAAAGTGAGGCCTGCTGTATGCTGAGCTAAGAGGGCCTTTGGTTCCCTTGCCCTTCTATGGGCTCCCAAATCCAGGCAAATAAAGGACCCCAAATACATTGGCCTTTTTGTTGACCCTTTGAAGTGAGTAATCTTTCATATTAAATTCATAATAAATGTGGACACAGGCAAATATTGGTCATATAACGTAATTCTTTGTTCCTCCCCAACCCCTTCATTTTGTTTCAGACATTTTTTGTTGTTTGTTTGTTTTTATGTTTTCAGATCTTTTTACCGATGCTTCTGAGACTGAAAAAATGGCCAAAAGTTTAGAAGATTCTGAAGGGGTTTATTTTGTTCCATGTTTTAGTGGTTTGCAGGTATGTAAGAAATAGTTAAGAACAATTAAACATTTCTCTCCCCATGCCCACCTCTAAAATTATGTATTTGCCATGCCCTTACCTGAAAATTTGGGTACTTAATAGACTAAGGTAAAAGGTACATTCTAAGGCTGATAAGTTATGGTTTGACATATTATGAATTCCACAAGAGCACAGCTAATTCAGCTGGCTTCTGCTTAGAGCAACACCCATGTGTAAACAAAAAGTCAGCAGGTTTATCATAGAACTTTTACATAAGACCCAGAATTATTTTATTATGACCAAAAGAGTCATTTCCCAGTGAAGGGAATCTATCAGTAGTTAAATGAAGTGTATCATTGAGAATTAGAAAAATAATGTAAGGTACACACACACACACACACCCACACATGCTCTCCCCCCATATCTATATGTGTATGTTTTACAGTTCTTTATAAGTTATATTAAACTTAAAAAAAATCAAAATTTCTTATCCAGTTGGTGTGGCTTAGTAGTTCAGCATCAACCCATGAACCAGGAGGTTATAGTTGGTTTCCCAGTTAGGGCACATGCCCAGATTGTGGGTTCACTCCCTAGAAGGGAACATGCAGGAGGCAGCTAATCAATGATTCTCATCATTGATGTTTCTACCTCTCCCTCGAAGAGCCTCTCCCTTATTCTCTGAAATCAATTGAAAAAAAATATTTTTAAAAAAATGAAAAAATTTTATTGTGATATATTGGTTACTGCCTAATCAAAAAGGGAATCCAGTAAAAGACTTGGTTTTATAATATTTAACTTTGTTATTGAATTGAAAGATCTGTGATAATACTTTTAATATGCTTATTGTTACAAAGACTTTGTAAAATACTCAGATATATTATTATGAACAAATTTCTTTCCTTTTTTTTTTTTTTTTTTAAAGCTTATACCAGTCATTTAAATGGTTTTTTCCTTTCAAAAAAAAAAAATTTCTTTTCCTTCTAGACCATCCCTTGCTCTGGCAATAAGTTACAAAAAAAGTCCCAAATTCAAAAGTTTAGATCATAGAATTTAGACGCTGATGAAAAAAAAAATTAGATCAGAATGGCTTAAGTCTCTAAAAGTACCGTATTTCCAAACTAGATTTTAAAATGAGCATTATTTTAATATCTGTCCTACTTTCTATATACTATATCCTGAGGTTCAGAAACTACCTCTATTGCATCTTCTGCAGGATGAGGGGAGGCAGCTAAAATACCATCCACCACATCAGAAAGAGTGAATAATTCTGATTGAAGTTTAAGGAGGAAGGTGACATGATCAGCAGAGGTGGGATTTAATTAGGTTACTGTGGATCCTCCCATTTTAAAAAATGTGCTGATGGACTTCATAGTGACCGTATCTTGTCAACTCTGTGTTTTCCTCCTCTATCAATTCATATATCTGTAAAAAATAATATGTAATAAAATCCTATTTAATAAAAGGGGAATATGCAAATTGACCGTCACTCCAACACACAAGATGGCCACCCCCATGTGATCAAAGATGGCTGCCCCTATGAGGACATAAGATGGCTGGCAGGAGAGGGCAGTTGAGAGGGACTAGGCCTGCAGGGGAGAGCAGTTTGGGGGACCAGGCTGGAAAGGGAGGGCAGTTAGGGTGATCAGCCAGGGAGGGCAGTTAGGGGCAATCAGGCAAGCAGGGGAGCAGTTAAGTGTTGATCAGGCTGGCAGGGGAGTCATTAGGGGATGATCAGGCTGGCAGGCAGAAGTGGTTAGGGGCAATCAGGCAGGCAGGCAGGCAGGCAGCCGAACGATTGGAACCCAGGAGTCCTGAATTGTGAGAGGAATGTCTGACTAGCCATTTAGGCCCCATCCCCTGCCATATGGAATGGTGCCTAAACAGGCAGTCAGACATACCTAAAGGGGTCCCAGATTGGAGAGGGTGCAGGCTGGGCTGAGGGAGATGCCCCCTCCTCCTTGTGCATGAATTTTGTGCACCAGGCCTCTAGTATATAATAAAAAAAGATAGAGAAAACTATTGCAGATATGGTTTTAAGTTTCATGTTGATCACAAAACGCTCCTGTTCTACCATGACTGCAATCTGGCCATACTTTGGGGTCGGGAGGGGTGAGGAAGCCTGCAAAGCCAAATATTTCCCAGTGTAAAATAAAAGTATTAACTGGAGACCTAAAATTAACAATATTGATGGTAAGCTGCTTAGAAAATAGGAGAGAGATTGCCTATAAGCTGTGTGTATCAATAAATAGAGAAAATAAAGATTATGGGAATGGAAAGAAGGAAGGAACAAGTACAAGTGGTACTGCCTTTAATTTTAGAATATTTTCACAGCTATAGATAATGGACGGCAGGATGGTAAAGGTTTCTAATAGTCTCAGTTTTTCAAGGGAGTCTGCTAACAAAGGGTTGCTGGAGAAGATTTAAGGTGAGTGAGGGTGCTGGGGCCAGCCAGTTCAAGAAATGGCAGAGGGGTGGGGGAGCAGCAGGCAGTGTGCAGGGCATTACTTGGTGCAGTCCGGTGGTGGTACTCTAGCAGGGCTGTGATCTGGGCGAGGTGGTGCTGATGTAGAGTGTTCACAGCAAGGGTCAGAGGCGAGAGTCAGTGGTTCTACTTGGTATGAAAGTTCCTGTGATGGTGGCAGCAAGAGAGAGGACAGGGCTGTGAGCTAGTGCCAGTCTTCAAGGATTAGTCATGCTGCTGTGAGGGCTCATAGGTATGAGAAGCAGGCTTCCTGTGTTGCATGCCCCTGAGGACAGACTGGGAAGAGCTCAGGGCCAGCTGTGCAGTTCTGAGTATTCTGTTTTCCTGCTTCTCTATACATCTGCTTTTCTCTTCTCAGCAGAAGCTTTGCTGGATGTCCTTTCTTTCTCATAACTTCTGCTTGTCATGATTTCCCCTATGTTTTCTGCTTCTTCACAATTTGTAAATACACACAGCCTTTTTCTTTCTTTTTAAAAAAAAATATATATTTTATTGAGTTTTTACAGATAGGAAGAGAGAGGGATAGAAAGCTAGAAACATTGATGAGAGAGACACATCAATCAGCTGCCTCTTGCACACCCCCCATTGGGGATGTGCCCGCAACCAAGGTACATGCCCTTGACCAGAATCGAACCTGGGACCCTTCGATCTGCAGTCCGATGCTCTATCCACTGAGCCAAACTGGTTTTGGCCACACAGCCTTTTCTACCATTTACATCCTTTTAATTTTATCCTTTAGTTTCCATTGATGGTCTTTTCCTAGGTGTTTCCTAGTTACAATTTCCAGGGAGGGAGTCTGATTGAACCACTTCCCCCCGCCCCCCCAAACTTTGGATAGACTTGAGCCAGTTGTGCTCTCTCCAGGCATGCAGTGGCTGGGGTACTAGGGCATGAGGTGTGGCTGCTTCAGAGAACAGTGCTGTGGGTTCAAGCAGTTTCCCTACAAAGGGATGTGGCCAGCAAGTACTGTGAATGCCATCTCTGGTTCAGGGAGTGACTGGGGTATCTGAGCAGTGGAAAGGTGAAAGGAAATACTGCATGATGTTGATGTGCAACCAGGTATGCAGGGGGACAGAGAAGTGTCTGCTAACAGTAGATGCACAGTGGCCTAGAATGGTCAGGGGGGTCAGTATAATCTCCTTCTGTTCTTGTGGTATGAAAGCCTGAGGAACCTATACTGAATAGTTACAGCTGAAGCCATTTGCCCATCCCAGAGCCAGGTTTGTTACAGCACCCACAAAATAAGTGGAGGAAACTTCTCAGAATTGGATATGAGTTAGGGGAATCTATTTACAATAGAAGGAAGCATTTAGATGGTTCAGTGAATGGATTGTGAAGACAGTAGTAGTAGGAGGGGAGTGGGTAAAATAAATATTGTAGTGGTAGCTAAGCTATGCATTCTTACTGTGTATCAGGCTTTGTCCTAAATTCTTCACATGCATTACCTCATTTATTCCTCTGTAACTCAGTAAGATATGAGATACTCTTTGGATTCTGCTCTGAAGATCAGAGACTTAAGGGTTTGCTATTAAATCCACTTGCCCAGTCTCACACACTATTGAGCAGCAGCTCTGGTTTTAGGATTCAGGTGTCTGGACTTCCAGGTCCAGGTTATAATCACCTCTGCCATACCCTCTCATAGCAGAATGTAAATACCAAGACAGCAGAATGACACAGCAGGTGCCAGAGGAATGAATGTGCTGTCAGGTCATGGTGGAATGGGACAGAGGCCTGCCAGCTTGGCAGTCTGTGCAGGGAAGGAGTCTGCAAGTTTTGTTTAGGGTGCCAAACAGAACTTGGCCAGGTCATGCTATCCTCGTTGATGGTTGGTTCTGGGAGGCCCATTTAGTAGCAGTGGTAGTGACATATTTGAGGTATTACTGGGGGCTGTCTGCCCTGACCAGGTATGAGCAGGACCTGAAAAGGACCTTCCCAGTGTTTTTTCTGCCATATCATCCCAGGAGAATTGGACTAGCTAATTCAGGGATATTGTAACCTAACAAGGAATTTTTAGGCTTTGGTGGAATTTATTACCCCTCAAATTGGCTTATTAGTTACAGTAAATTATGTTCATAGTTACTTGTACACAAGAGATTTCAAGCAATTGATATCTGAATTCTATGTGGTAGATTAGAAGAAATAATTTTTATGCAGAGAAACCCCATAGCATCCTAGGAACTAAAGGAATGGGCAGAGTCTGGCCTGTCTTGTAGACCAACTTCACTGTATAAATCAACTTTTACTGAGCGAATCATCAGAAGATATTATGAACTTGAAAATTATCAAGATAAATTCACAATAGGAGGCAAATTATAGCTACAGTAAAGATAAGATATAATGTAGAATTTCTTCAGTTAAGTAATTAGGAAAAGTATTATTTGTTCATTGATAGGATGTGTATCAATGAGCAGATGTGGAGGGCCACACACAAGAGTTTCCATAAACACACATACATACCTGTGATTATAAATTGTGACACCTGATGTAATGGGGAGTTAGAGGCTTCCACAGAAACATATCAGTGAGAACTGGTCTAGTCTCTGGGGTCAGGAACTTTCCCAGAGGAAGCTGAGCCAAGTTTCAGAATGGTAAGTAGGACTGACCAGAAGGGGGCGGTAGAAAGTTTTCCAAGTAAAGAGATGATATGTGAGTGCTTGAAACAAGCAGGTTTTTTTTCTAGGGACCATCAGTTCCTGACAGCACTGACATGTCCCATCATGACCTTATGTAAGTGTGCCGAATTCCTCTGTCTATTTCCCCGTGAGATTGCAGGCCTGGCAGGAATCTATTTTCTGTCCCAGAATTGTCTTGCATTTCAAAGATGAATACAAATTTCATTCGATTAATACTTCCAACTTAAGATTTTGACTCTTTAAAAAGAAATTTGAGTAATCCTCACCCAAGGTTATATTTATTCATTTTGGAAAGAGGGGAATAGGGAGAGAGGTCTATCAGTTGCCTCTGGGGATCAAACCTGCAACTTAGGTATGTGTCCTGATGGGAAATGAAACCCACAACCTTTTGGTACATAGGATGACACTCCAACTGAGGCACACCAACCAGGGCAAGATTTTGACTCTTGAAAGACAGATGTTAGGCTGGGTCATTTCTTATATTAGAGAACAAGACTATAAGCTAAGAAATTGAATACTAGATTGAGTGGTGACATATTGGGTGTAAGTTATGACACTGAAAAACACATTTTTTTGCATTGTTATTCTTTATCTTGAGTCTAACTTATGTCTTCAAAAAGCTTCTTTATTCAGTGAACAACTTTATGTGTAAAAACCCTACACATAAAGCTGGAGAGAAGGGGGTACAGGATTATTTTTCATTGTCTTCATTAATAAAGCTGGGCTGTTAATAATTGGTCACTCTGTACTGCAGTGCCTTTTCTTGGTTGGATCTCAAACAGAAGGCCCAGGTAAGTCCCATGTCAGTTCTCAAACTTGCTCAAGCCCTGTTAAAATGTTATGGTAATATTTAACATAATTTTGGGCTGTCATTTATTTTAAAGCTACTTAACTATAATAGGGATTTTTTCCAATGTGTTCATTTTTATTGAATAATATGTCTTTCAATATATAGATGTGACTTAGAACAATAAAAATATATTCTTACTATCTCTTACTTTAGGCTCCATTAAATGACCCCTGTGCATGTGCCTCTTTTATGGGTTTGAAGCCTTCCACTAGTAAATACCATCTTGTACGAGCAATATTGGAGTCCATAGCTTTCAGGTACCAAAACCTGCTCTAAATTCCTTTCTCCCCACATGATATTTCTGTTTTCTTTTATTAGTTTCTACATAACTAGAAATTTCTTAATTTTAATCAAGGGTTTATACCTTTAGTTTAATTCATGGTACATATGACATAGTCTATTATTACTGTTAATTTCATATAATTTCTTATTTTTTCATATTAAATAGTACTGGTACCACTTAGATTTGATATCTGAAAAATTCAGTGATTTTAAAAAATATCCAATTTCCTAAGCATAAGAGATTTAAAATTTGGACTTTCAAAGGTTTTTGTATTCATGAAGGAGAATTTTAATATGCTTCTGTGATTCTCAAATATTGAATTATCAAAATTATTTTATGTATATTTTCCTGTGTTTTTTGTTATGAGGCAGGTGTAGCTTATTAAAATTAAAAATGTGGCTATCGTGAATATGGAAAATTCAAATGTTTAAAATAAAATTTCCAGTGATTATAAAATAGAGTGCATGAAATTTGTGCACTTGGGGTGGAGTCCCTCAGCCTGGCCTGTGTCCTCTTGCAGTCTGGGAGCCCTCAAGGGATGTCCAACTGCCAGGTTAGGTCCACTCACAGGGAGCAAGCCTAAGCCAGCAAACGGACATCCCCAGCACTGCTGTGGAGGTGGGAGAGGCTCCTGCCACCACCGCTATACTCACCAACTGTGAGCCCAGCTTCTGGCTGAGTGCACTGACCACCAGGGAGCATTTGCCCCTGGTGGTCAGTGTGCATCATAGAGACCGATCATTCTGCTGTCAGGCCAAAAACAGCTCTCTGACATCCCCAAGGGTCTCAGATTGCGAGAGAGTGCAGACCTGGCTGAGGGACCCCACCAGTGCACTATTGGGACTGTGAAGGGACACAGGAGTTAGCCAGCCAGGGAGGGACCGTAGGAGGCAGGTCTGGCCCATCTTGTTCAGTCCCAATTGACTGGACCCCAGCAGCAAACTAGCCTACTGTTGGGAGCATCTGCCCCTTGGTGGTCAGTTCATGTCATAGCGACTGGTCAGCTGGTAGACTGTCTCCCCCCCTGGTAGTCAGTGCATGTCATAGCAATTGGTTGAGCGGCCTTAGCATATCATTAGCATATTACACTTTGATTGGTTGACTGGCAGACTAGACACTTAGCATATTAGGTTTTATTATGTAGTATTAGTTTTATATTTGATTAATTCTATTAGATATAATTTATGGCATGCCATCTTAATAGCTATCTATTAAATGAATGCTCGATTTGTATTTTTATTTGTAGGAACAGTTATAGATAAAATTCAATTTGAAAATAAATTGTGCTCTTTCATATGGAGGTGAGAAGTACAAGCCCTGAGCCTCTTGTTTATTTGAACATCTGTTACCCACTTCTGGTTAGCAGAATATATTTCTTTAATGCCTTTTTGCATATTTTTTATATATCATGTAAATAAAACTATAGTTTTTATTTTTATAGATTAGAAAAATGGAGAATTATATGATTTCCTTTTCTCTAAATAGTTACCTTATTTTTTTAACTAGAAACAAACAATTATATGAGGTAATGCAGAAAGAGATCCATATTCCTGTGACAAATATCCGGTATGTATTCTTTGTTTCTAACAGATGTAATTAGAAATTGGAAGGAAGTCGTAGCTACCATGAATATTTCCATCATTAGGATTATTGAGTATTTCAACAAGAACTTAAACCTAGGTCCTTTGCAACAAAATTCTTGATCATAGGGATTTGACAAGGAATGAAAAATCGATTTAGGATTTATTGAGAATATAACAAACTTTGGAATTTGGGAAGATCTTAGCACCCATATTATAAAAATCTTTAAGTCTCTTTTGGGCATGTGGCTATCCTTTTTGCATAGAAGCATCAAATTTTCTTTGCTAGAATGTCCAAATGAATTTGTATGTTGGCTCAGTTCACTTGCCTGTTTTGAACAAATAGAGCAGGTGGAAGAACTGATAGTAGGAATAAGGGAAAGTATTTCAAGATTACCTAGTAAGGTCCTGTATCTGCAGGTCAATGCTAAGTGATATAATTTTGGAATTAAAAAGTAAAATCAAGGATCTAAAAAATATGACTCTTTTTAAAAATGGTGTTAATGCTTTTGTTAATGTACTTTATCTGAAATATCTTACTCCCCACAGGGCAGATGGAGGAGTTTGTAAGAACAGTTTTGTCATGCAGATGACTTCAGACCTGATTAATGAGAAAATAGACAGACCTGTTCACCTGGATATGTCGTGCCTCGGTGCAGCTTCTCTAGCTGGCCTTGCTGTTGGTATGAATTTTATAAAAATGAGAGTCATCTTGCAAACTATTTCTTATAGATAGCATTTCTCCTCCCAAACTGTAAAATTATAAAGAGGGTCCAGAAAACCTAGGTGTCCACTAAGCTCTACAAGCATATGTACATCACTCACAAAACACTCCCGTGGCCTCCTCGGGTGGGTCTGTCCTTACTTCACTCCTTGAGTCCTAAGTATGAGGCAAGGACAATTAATTCTCAACTGCTTAGCAAGGTAGGGGCTCTGGGCAGGCTTCCTGAGCAGATAGGCTTGTCTTTGGCATTAAAATAACTCCATTCTTGTATTTATTGAACATTTGTTCAGCACCTTGTTACATGGCAATCACTACTGGGAATAAAGAGTTTAAATGTCATAGCCCTGCTGTGGGAGAGCAGTCAGACAAGTTAACTGATTATTAAATTTGGTATAAAAAAAAAAGCGCAAACAGTTGTAGTATTAAGCAAACAGTGTGGCCTTCCCAGAGGTGGCAACATAGAGCTCAGTTTTGAAATGCACAGATAGCCTGGTGAGGAAGAGGGTCAGAACTAAGCTAGCTGTCTAACAGAGAATGCAGCTCCTGCAGAGTTACTGAAACCAAAATGTGGGATGTTGAGACCAAGTGTGTTGTCTCACAAAAAAGAAGAATGACGTGAAGGACAAAAACAATTAGCAGAACTGAAGTTTATTGGGAAAAGGCAGTCCTGGAAAAGGTGTAGCTGGGGTTTCAGGAGCAGCCCAGTGTCCAGAGCTTTCTTTCATGTTATAGTCAGTAGTAGTTCAACATCCAAGCTAATTAAAGCCTATCAGTCCATGTGTGGAGACCCACATAGCCATAAGCCTCTACAACAAAAACGCCAGCTATTGTATGCTGCGTCGGGGAAGAGAGAAAGAGGAAGCTCGAGCATGCTCTTTTTTGTATATATGCTTGTTAGTTCCTGATTGGTTATGCTGCCTGTCTTAGTAATATCTTAAAGTTCATGCCTCTCTTTTTTTTTTTTTTTTTAATATATTTTATTGATTTTGTACCTAGAGGAAGGGAGAGAGAAAGAGTTAGAAACATCGATGAGAGAGTCATCGATCAGCTGCCTCTTGCACACCCCCCACTGGGGATATGCCCGCAACCAAGGTACATGCCCTTGACCGGAATCGAACCCGGGTCCCTTTAGTCCCCAAGCCGACGCTCTGTCCATTGAGCCAAACCGGTCTCAGCATCATGCCTCTCTTACATACCTTTCCTTCTCCGCCCAATTGGGGTATCTTAGTAATTCTTCCTAGTTGAGTTTTCTTTCCCTTCCTATGATCCTTCCCCTATCTACCTCACTTTCTTCAGTCTTCATTTCTCATTCTGATTTGGAGACTCCAACTGCTATTGGAAATGGGGGCAATGACCACTCTAGCAACTTACAACTGAAGAGGGACGTAGCAAGGAGTATTGGAGCTCCATTGGAGGCAGATGATCTAAGGGACTGTGGAAAATAGAAAGATGTCATTCAGAGTTTCATTTCCATGACCATCTGTAGTTTGATGGATCCTAGGCAAGAGAGGATGCATAGTTAGACAACTGAGTATACAAGAGCCAAACAATAATGCTAGGAACAGGTAGCATACCATGGATTTGAGCCTAAATTTTAGGAGATTGAGAATGCAATGTTTTCTCCCTTAACTATATAGTCTGTTTAAGAATATCTTGTTTTCTAAGATCTATTTTAAAAGGATTATTGACATGTAGGAAGGCCCATTATATGATCTGGAACCATGTGATCCAGTGAATCTAGTGACCTTTGTATATTTGATCTACAGGTGGTTAAATTGACATAAATTCTGAGCTAAGGCCTGACCAAACAAATGGAGGCTGTCTCTAAAGCCCTGGGGTAAAACTGTTCAATTTGATCATGGGGGACCCCACTGGCATTTACTAAGAAGTACTTGTCTCTGGGCTGTTGAGTTGTATCTAGGACTGACTGATTCTCTGATCCTGAGAGTATCTGATTTGAAAGAAGCATTACATTCTTCCATGATAAATTAAAGGTTTATGTCTGTCCCTGGAAAACACATATGTACTTATCAGGGTTATTTGAAAACTTTCCTAAATACATATATATATATATATATATATATATACACACACACACATACACACACACACACACACACATACATATATATATACATATATATAATATCTTATTGATTTTTACAAAGAGGAAGGGAGAGGGACAGAGAGCTAGAAACATCGATGAGAAACATCGACCAGCTGCCTCTTGCACACCCCCTACCGGGCATGTGCCCGCAACCAAGGTACATGCTCTTGACTGGAATGGAACCTGGGACCTTTCAGTCTTCAGGCCAATGCTCTATCCACTGAGCCAAACATCTTAATTTGTCTTATGTCCTGTAGGAAAAACGATACCTGGACTCAGATGGGTCTGTACTCTCCCCCTGCTACTGCCTGTAGAGGGCAAAGGGTAACCAGCGGCCTGGGTGGCCAAGTCCCCTCAGGTATAGGCAGGTCTTGTTCTTCCAGGGGTCCTGGATAAGGAAGACAAGATGGCTCAGGAGTTTTTAGTGGGCCACTCAGCCCCGTCACCTTCTTAGTGGTTTTTGACTCTTATACCGCTTTGGGTCAATGTTTCCAGGCATCAGGGGTCAATTTTATATTGTTACACAATTTTTTATTATTTCTTATGGCAAAGAAAGCCTGAACATATGGTACCTCAGACACTTCCCTTCCTTCCTACAGAAAATATTTCATTGTATGATGGTAATAATCCCCTTTGAGGACCATTCCTCTCCATCTTCCAAGATTATATTGAGGCCATACTTAAGTATGCTTTCTCTTCAGGGTTTGTGAATCAAATGAATCCCAGTTCCTCAAAATGCAATCTAGGAGTGTGCTTACCTTGATGGCAGTTGAGTTCCCCATCTGAAAAGAAAAAATGAACGAAGAAGCTACCAGTGCCATCTTGTTAGGGCCCTCGAAGGATGTCTCCCGTGTAGGGCAAGAAAGACTACTTGTTAATGCACACAAATAGCTGGTCTTCCTGGCTAGATATGCTCACAGGGAAGATCCTGATTTAACCTCCTACTACTGGTGCTCGCATGTGTATGACCATATGCAAGTATCTGTCGGGCAGTCACACTTTACCGGTGAGATTTCTTGTGCTGCCTGTGTGATTTCCCTTAATGGAAAAGGGAATAAATCCTGGTCTGATTTGTAGAGTGGCCTACGTGGTTCAAATATTTCTTTAGGGCAAATTGGGCCTATTGAAATGATCTAAAGAAAAGTTCCTTAAAATTTAAACCTTTGGAAGGTTTTCAAGATTATTTGACCAAAAGAAGTGACGTTTTTCCTCAGAACCAAGAAATCCTTGCTCTCTGTCAGAGGGACAGTGAGGCCTGGGCATGGAAGGAAGTAGTTATGGTGTCTAGAGGCTATATTCTATGAGCTGAGTAAGGCTTATAACCTAGTTGAGACAAACTAAACAACAAGAATTATGACAAATGATTCAGTGGGAGAAAAAGTGTTTTAGTACTCAATGATTCCAAGTCAAAAGATGGGAGAAAATTAAACGTTAGTTTGAGGAGTTGTAGCTAAACATCCAAGAATACTAAACAAATTTAGAATTCAGTTCAATTCATAGTTGAAAAATAAAACTTTGAAACAATTAACTGGTCTGTTCCCAATTGTGTACTATAGTTTGTTGAGACACAATTGTTCTCTCTAAAATCACCCTCATTTTTATTAAAGACCAAATTAAGTCTAGTTGTAATTTGGCCTGATTATTTGCATGAATACAATAAGAATACCAATTGACTATATAGGCTCTTTTAAAATTTGCTTTGCTGGAATTTCATGATTGAGGGTTTGTTTGTGGTTTTTTTTTTGTTTGTTTGTTTGTTTGTTTTTTTGTGTGTGTGTGTGTGTTTTCCATGATTGATCTTTAATGAGCCCTTTATGGCTCCTAGTTGCCATCAGGCTTGCCTGTAGACTTGGGTGAATTCCCCAAGTTTTTGAGGTTCCCAAAATGCCTTGAGGTTCCTATCTTGACATCTTTCAGGAAAGTAACGTTCATTTATTACCTGGAAAGACTGCCATGAACCACATGACCAAGCAGGGTACCAGGCTTTTCTTAAAGGCACTCACATTGGCTTCAAGTTTTTTCTGGTGACATCCAGAGTCCAAGCATGTTTCTCTCAGACATGACACTCCAGTCAAAGTCTTGGTCAATAAAATGGCAGTTGGAAAGTTGTCTTATTGAATTCATGCAAAGAAATGCACTGCCATGATTTACTCATTAAGAATTGCCAAATTCTGGAGGGAGAATGTAGGGAGAAAAATAAATAATTTACTAAATTGCTTTAAGAAAAGAAACAAGTTTACTTCAGTCTGAAAAACAAAAAGATTGAGAATCAGCAATACTTTCAAAAGTTATAAAAACTGTAATTATTTTCTGTTCATTCAGTCCCATATTAATGTTTTTGCTTCTCCTGATTTTTCCTGCCAGTACTTCTATAAATCTAGATCACACATGTCAAACACAAGGCCCTCGGGCCAAATCCGGCCTGCCAGGCCTTGCGATGTGGCCCGCACCGCGCTGTCATCACTGCACTCCGCTGCGTTCCATCACAATGACGCGAGGTGATATAGGAGGCTTGTGATCTCACCGGCCGCCTCGCCGGCTGCCATACTTGCTATCTATTACGCATGCGCATAGATAATAAGTCACGCGAGATTCAGGAGGCGTGACCTATAGTCCGGCATCCGATGTGGTTGTGCGGGTGGCAGAGCAGAGGAGAGAGTGAGTGTGCGGGCATAAAAAATACACAGCAGAAGCTGCCAGTTCCTGGCATAAAGTGCAGGCATAAAAATCGCAACAGAATCTGCTATCTGTACCCAGCCAGGCATTTATTGACTGACTTTTTTTTTCTCCACTCCATCTGCCAAATCAAGCTATCCCTGTGCAGTTTTCAACTTTTTCCTTCTAACGCAGAT